TGCATTAAGGGACTAGCCTAAAAATCAGTGAAGGACTCTACAGAGCTACGCAACGAACCTCAGCTTGAGTTCAGATCTGTAAGCAACAAGACTGTTCTGCAAGAGAAAACGTTTATCAGCAGCACAGCTCCCAGGAAACAAAATGTCCTCGCATCTTAAGAGATGATCACAAAGAACGTGCGTGGTACCACTTAAAGGTTGACATTTGCTAGTTTTCCGAGTTACATCTTACATGCCCATATGCCTCCACCACATACAAACAGCTCCATGAACTTCTGGTAGGCGATGCCCAACTTTTCAGGGCTGTAGCATTCTCTCCTGAAGTGCTTTAAACAGAGACCTTCACACTAACTTGAAGGAGCATTAAATTACTACAGACAAAAGGATGAAGTCTTAGTAACTGTTAAGACCACATGCATCTCATGGCTGAGGTGGTTTGCCCTACGTGGTGGCACACCACAGTATGCTCTTTAATTAATATTACTGCTCTAGCACACTAGTGGTTTGGTTTTTTTCCCCCCTAAATCCCTAACATCAGACATCCTTTCCCACTGATCTGGAAAAAAATTAAACTCAAATCCTTTTTGTCCAGAGACTCAGTAGACTGCAGGGAACACATACAAGTAACTGCTAACTACAAGAACATTTTAGCTGGTGACAATGCAAAAACCCCAGATGCTGCTGAACTTAAGAAACGTGGCTCTTTAGCACTATGGTGAGGGTAAAATGAGAGCTGAAACTGTAAATCAGTTTCCCAGCCACCCTTACCGATTTTTTAAAAGTAAGGGTACCTCAAGAAAGAAGAAAGCAAGCTGCTACTCCAACTCTGTCTGAATGGCTTAACGTTTCTTCTAAATTCTTCAGAAAGCGGTGGGAACCAAAGAAAGTAAAGAAAGTAAAACTTACAATTCAATACAGGTTACTACTGATATTCAGGTATTTCTCATAAACTAAGCCTTCACTTGCCAAGCAAATTCCACTGGGTACACTGCAATCCTATGTTTGACTGGAAATTGCATTTGCTCAGAAAACAGAGCAGCCAATGCCCCATCCCAATAATTATGAAAGGTTATTGCTAAATTCAGAAAAGAAAAGGTTGATTTGGGTACAAGTTCTACCTATCAAATCTCTAGTGAGAAAAGAGGACACAAGTGGAAAACTGGTGCTATTGGCTGCCATTTAAATAAGTTTTTATTCAAATATAGAACCTTTCTTTCTCGTTACATTTCTGTACCTGCTGTTAACATCTGCAGCGCAACGAAGATTTTCATTTTTTTTAGATTCATCCAAGCACTTAACATCAACTTATAGACAAATAAAATATCCCAGTTAGGACAGAAAAAACTGCCTGAGTAGAAACTCAGCATCTTCAGGAAGAAAACTGAAGTCCGGTAATCTTTAGTTATGGCTAGAACAAAGCCAATGGTCTAATGAGTAGAAATCCTAGCTACATCACACATGTGGCATACCATGCACTCTGAATCAATTTAAATCACGTCTGATGTGCTCTCCCCCAGAGCTGCGGAGTTCATCGCCCATTATACTGAAATAAGCCGGTGTTGAAGATTCTGGTTTATGAGCAGCTGCCGCCGAACAGCAGACAGGAAGTTAAGCTGCATTAGAAACGAGATGGAGAATAGAATATTATAAAGGGAGGGGAAGTAAAACAACTTCATGCACTTCATCAGAGTAGTAGCGGGTATGAAAAAGAGTATCTGAGAACTAACGTTCTTGCAGGTTAAGAAAGACCGGGGCTATATATGCATCTCCAATAAGTGGAAACCAGGGATGGTTTATGTTACTGGAAGAAGCATAGAAAATGAAAGACACAAAGAAAGTTGATCACGCGGTTCTTAAAACAAGGGGACTCTCAATAAAATTAGATTTTAAGCAGCACTGAGGTTCACAGAGTTCAGCCTGACGTTCGTATGGTATCGGTATAAAACTGAAGTAAAAATTCAAGAACTTCATTAAGCATAATAAAACTACTCTAAGTAATTTAACGACAGCAGAGAAACAAGGTGAAAATAAAACTCTCCATTTCATTCCAAGGTTCAATTATGTGAGATTCCGGGAAATTAACATTAAACTACTACACTGTCTACCTCTGACTTTCTTAACAATATCTATTCATTTATTCTTTATTAAAAAAAAATAAATGGACAGTAGCTGACAACACAAAGGATCAGGAAGCCTTAGTATGGTTCGGATGTCCAGAAACAGGACATACACTGAATTTGACACATCATCCACACCCCCACAATCACAGTGAAATACAATGTTCTATGATTTTTACAATCTAGGGACCTATTTAGTGCTATTTTTTCTTTTGCTCTGACAAATCTGAAAAGTTGCTCAAATACACAATTAAATTTGCTACAGGTCAAAGACAGCACAGAATGTTACAACTATCTCAAAAAAAAAAAAACCAACAACATTAAGCTTGAGTTTAAAATGAGTAGAAACATTAAGTCAACACTTAGCTACCCAATTCTTGAACTAATGAAGACAGGGTATCCACTAGAGGCCTACCCACCCATCGTGAACATCAGATGCATCAAATTAAAAGGCAAATTAAGCATAGGAAAAACCCCTCAGTTAAGAAATACCAGAATGAAAAACCTCAAGCCTATGAAGTAGATACTCACAGAACCCTGACTTTCACATGGATTCACAAGAGTGCTGCTCTTTCTAAAATTCAGTTATTTAAGAAGCAATTCAAGCAGATGCTGCATTGGTAGCTTTGCCAATCTGTGTACAAAACTGCTTAGGCACAAAAGGGACATACTTCAACTCTGGAGGAACTATTTTGGGCCATCGTTTGCTTAGCCAAACACCGAAGCAGAATTCCAGAATAAAAATATTCTAGCGTTGGTAAGTTTATCTACATTCTAGATCTCAAACCAATGCCTAAAATAATAATTAACTGACAGCTCCCCCCCACAGCCTTTTTTTATTCATATAATTAAAAACATGCCTTGCTGGCTTAAATCCAGTGATGAACAAACACATATTATGCACTGCCTTGAGAATCAAAGCTCATAAAACAATGTTGCACAGAGCTACAAAAAAAAAAAAAAAAAATCACATGGTGTTAAGAGGCTGTTGAAGCCTATGAAAGAAATTCTTAATAAAACCAAATGACAAAAATCTAGAGAGGACAAAATCTCAGGCAAGTCACACAGAACATTTAACTGTTTCTGTTGATAATGTAAGAAACGCTCTCCCCTTCTGCTTACTCCTCTGCTGAAGCTAAGGGAGTGGCTTACTTTCAGACAAGTTTAATTCTGTGCAGAGCAAGCCTGCATTCACATGTGATTTACACCAGTGAAGTATGATTACGACGGTGAATTTGAGATTTGTTCCTGCTACAGCACAGCACTATTCCCATTTATTAGTTTGTCCACCTCCAGCCTTGTTCAGATGGATTCTTCCAAACATTTTAGTGAAGCACTCTAGAATTTACTGTAAACACACATAAAACGGGGAGTGGCATTCATTAACGAGGCTCATGTTCTATTTTAATACACAGCAGATCTACCACGCTCTTACATGATTAAGACAACACAAGAAAATGGATGAAGCAGTTCAGTACTTTAAGAATTCATTCAGAGAAAACAAAGTTAAAAAAATCATAGGAGTAAATAAAATTAGTTTTGAACTGGCAAGAAGAGAGACTTCAGTCTTCTTACACATTACAAGAAAAATTCCTCATTCAATTGTGAGCCAGAATCAATATTTTTCAATAAGAGCCAGATTCAATTCACTTTCCTTAGCAAAGCAGTCAGTACCCAGCATAGCTAACTTCACTCCTTCTCCCCCAATTTGTCAAACTTCTGCAAGCCTCACAGGACTAAATGGAAAACAATTTTTTTTCCAAAAAACCTCATTAACTTGAATTCCAAATACCATATCTGCCCTCAGGAATTTTTTTTTTCTTCCAATCAAGTTCTCCCACTACAGGAAATATTTATCTTCCACCTAGCAGCATTTAAAAGACCCAATATGCCATTAAACCTGAATATGCTTCAAATATTTCCTCCAGCCTGGTAGGTTTGGTAGCATTAGCTGTTACTTGTTACAAGAGTGGGTAAAATATTTTAAGCAAAAGCAAGGATTTTGCAGTCTATTAAAAATCTTTAAAGTCAAAACAGAAAGGCTATGGGGGCTTAAGTGCTGGTCCAAACCTACTGAGGTCTATAGAAAGTCTCCTATGGAATTCAGTGATTTTTGGATCAGTCCCAAAGCATCTACAGTAGCATAGGTAAGAGACAGCATCTACATTTTAAAGGTATGTTTCTCCCGCAAAACAAAACCAGACGTGATCGCAGTAACTTTACTCTGATGAGACTACGCAAAGTTTCTGACTTCAAATCTAATACAACTTCACAGTAACCATCACTGTCATTAGGGAATTCTAGCTTTCGATATCAGTCTATGGGACAACCACCTCAGAAACAAACAAAAAAAATATTCAGAAATCAATTCTGAAAACAATGCTTCTTCTGTATTATAGCATATGGTGAAACTGAGAAAAAAAGCTTCGTTCCACTAAGCAGCACACTGAAGGCTTGCTGTATCAACTGGCAACTTAAGACCCAATGAAGGAACCTGCTCAAAGTGCAAATTTTCATTAGTATACCACAATTCACTACCCAAAGTCTGATTTCTGAACCATTTTGGAAGCACCTACTCAACACCAAATTTAAATTGTTCCCCAAAATTTCATCATAGCATGACAGCAGAAATGAAGTTCTGCTCTTCAAAATAAGAAAAAAGCCACCAGTACCGCCCACGTGTTTCCCTCCAGAAGTATCAACACGCTTTGAAACAAAGTGATACCAGATTTTATCCTACCAGCTTTCAGTTGTACTCACATGACTACCTACGTGCACCGAGATGTGAAAGACTAGTAATTTCACATCATACACACGGTCCGCACTAATAGATCATAAGCACAACATAAGAATCTCTTTCAGTCGCAACAATTTTCTTCTTACCTTGCCTCCTTCTCTTTCAAAGTCGACATATTCCCGGGTTGGTGTCTGTCGCTGCTCCCCCTGCCAGCTGGCCGGAAAAAACTGGAGAGACAGATTGGTTCCTGTGGCCACAAAAGCCTTTTAGAAAAATCAATACAAACAGGATCAGGGAGCAAGACATTACATAAATTATGCAGGCAGTCATTTATTTTTACATCAGTTTATGTCTTAAGCCAGGCAGCATAGAGAATACTTAAAGTCAAAAACATGCACTCATCATTTTTCTTAAGTATTAAGTTACAAACATCTGATTCCATTTTGACAACATTTGCTATTGGCTGCTTCGGATATAAAATACAACATGGAATCAATACTTCTTCCAAATCAGTTTTGCTGACATTAGAATCTGTCCTTTCAGTCCTGTCTGGATACCCTGCACCAACTTAGTACCTGCAACATTAAAAATTGCCCACGCTTTTTAAAGAGCTTGCGTGTCTCTAAAAGAAGCACTGCGAAAGGAAAATTAACTCCCGAGACCTGTTACTAGGGACAACTTTTTTTGAAAGAGAAGGACTTGCTTCCTTTCACAATCCACTTGTACCTAAATAAACACTTAACTGAACTGAAATGTAAATATTCCTATTTTATCGTCTACAGGCAAAGCAGCATCAGCACACAGCTCAATTAAACTTCAGGGGACTCAGTCCTCTTGCCACATTAAGACACCACTGAAATCCAAATCAGCAGATGCTGTGTCAGTGAGAACAGGCAACCACAGGAATTCTTCTCAGCTGCAGCCCTTTGTAAAATCATTAAAGGGACTGACATATTACAAAAAGCGTACATTGCTTTCAAGTAATTTTCTATGGTTTCAAACAAAAATAAAATACAATTTTATTATTAAAACAACCCAAACCATTCTATGATTCTATTTCCTTTATAAACCCTCTATATTTATTTGTATATCTTATCAGCTCCAAGCCATGGAGAGTATATCAGTTTCTAGACACAAAATAAAAAATTATTTTTTGCAAGTGGAAGTTGGATTCACAGTATTTATGCCCTTCTCTGGTGCACATGAGTAGGTCCTGTAAGCATACAAATACTAGAACATGCTCCCAGAATATAACTCTACTAAAAATCCCAGGGTTAAATGTAATTTGTTGCAATCAAATAACTGTATTGATTACCATGATCACTTAGATTTAAATGGTCATTAATCCAGAATACAGTTTTCCTTAAAGGCTATACAAATACTACTCTAATAGTTGGAATTTCCTGACAAGCAGATTCCTTTCAAGCAACCCAGACTGCTTGAATTCAGCAACTTTATGGTACTACCGTACTGCTACCTACGACACAATAGCTCTACATGTTATTTAAGACTGTTCTGGCCATGTACTGCAATGCTGTCTGTCACAGGATTAATACCTCCCACTCTGAAAGTAGAAGTGCTTTGTCTTGACTTTTTCCCCTCCGCCAAGGGAGACTAATGCCGTGCAATCAGGTTCCAATTCCAGACTATCCTTCAAAGCACATTTTATTTATTTATTTATTTTTAAATCTCCTGTTAAGCACATTCTCAATGCCATTAAAATTGACAAATTGTTCCTACTAATACTGGGGGAGGTGTTGTATCAGAATATTAGTATTTGTTTGCCCTGCAATACGCAAAGACAAACATTTCAGTCAATGCAATAGAAGCTTCAGCAAGGATACACTTGCACAAATAGGAAGCGTGAAACCTGCGAGGGCTGCAGACCATCGGTATCAGATTGACCAGCTTGTATCATCCCGTTGCTTTTCTAAGTGATCCTGTTTACGTATCAACAAAAAAAAAATTTATACCCATCTCCAAATATTTTTGACTCGCAAGTCGTCACCACTTTATTCAAGAACTACCTCCCCACCTACGAGCATCCTCAGCGAATACGTGTTCTATACTCCTTAATTTTATACGCTTTAAACAAAATGCCAAGGAGCAAGATCTTTTGAGTGTAAACCAGCTGGCCACTGCAGCCCTGCGGAGGGCTCCAGTTTCCGCAGGCCAAGGATCCTGGGTCAGAAGTACTGTACTTGCTTTCTGGGAAACAGAGGGAGACTGCGAAGCGCCCATGCCTCCCCACTTCCACCCTCCAACTTGTGCCAGAGGGCCATGAAAAACCATGGGAAAAATATCAGAGAAAAGAAGAAAATGGAAGCACGCAAATTCCCACATCCTCATGGAGTCATGCGGACAACGTTTAAACCATAGGCTATTTAAAAAGCTATGCAGATATTTATTCTCGGGATTTTTGAAGCTTGTTCCCTCCCTTTGAACAGATACAACCCGTCCAATTAGAACACCCAGATGCTTCTCAAGTCAAAATCATAGGTCAATACTGAAAAACTCCAGAACAGTCTCGCTAGTAACGACACAGTACTACACCAAACCCAACAATTTTCTAGTAACAAGCAAAGGTTAAAAAATTAAAGAAAAAAAAATTTTAAAAAAATCTCACCGCTAGTTTGGTCTTAAACTTTAAAGTGGGAAAAATATAATTTTCTATACATAGCCTTTTAAAGCTCTGTCTGAAATGCTATTGTACATATATGCCTCAAATTTTGCAGAAAGCTTTTCAGGTGGTACGAGGGTGATGTGACCCACAGATAGACTACCTTAACATAAATACAAGTACCTTCCATACAAACAGGTAGTTAGGAGGTTTCCCAAAACAAACTGAACGTGTAAAGTTACTTTCAAGTTACCAAAGCAATACCAATAAATGCCAAATCTTATTTAATATTTCAGTTACTTTCTCAGTAATACCGATAATTACTTTCTTTATTCAATCAAGAGTTACCTGACTGAAGTAACCAACAACCTACTGCCAGTTCCACATTAAATCCCTAAGCTGTTCACTAGGGTTTTCTGCTTACTTAAAAATACATAACATCATTTGCAAAGGCTCCCTTTGGAGATAAAAGAATAAATCCTTGATGTCTGGAAAAACATTCAAGACTTTAAAAAAAGTGAAATTGCTACCTCTTTTTAACGTCAGTCATTACACACTCTACATTTCTAAATAAACCTGACTACTTGTGCGCTGTTCACAAAACAATACCAGATGTTTCAGATCAAGAAATCTTAATTTATAATTAAGAAGTAGTAAAAATACATGGAACAGGCAATCACTGGTTGCTTCCAAGGGATGAAGTTCTGGCAGAGAAAGACAGCAGCAGGCTTAGAAGCAGAAAGGCAAAGTACAGTGATTTCCTATTTGTACAAATAACCACGCAGGGTGCATTAGAAAGCTAGTTTAGAAGCTGCACGTCCTTTTTTTTTTTTTTTTTTTTGGAAGGACTCAGGTATACTGTGCACTTTCAGCTGTTCAGGAACTTCAAATAGTAGCAAGCTACATTTTCCTTACCTACCTACGGTTTCTCTGGTGACTTTTTAAAGGAAGCAAACATGTGCAATGAAAAAAAAAAGAATGTAAAAAAACCCCAGTGAAATTAAGAGACTGACTACAGGGGGCCTCTCAAAATAATTTTAGAGGTTCTAAGACCACAGAAAATAAGCAGGGGTAAGATTCAGCTAAAATAAAGTTACTTGGTGAAAGATGAATGTATACTTAAGTGTATGCCCTTTTACTCACAAATGCAAATGGACAAGATCGGTTGCAATAATTGGTATTCAATTATATTTGTTTGGATGTGCACAAGGACAATTTCATCGTGCACAAGGACAATTTCATCGTGACTAGCAATATCTGTGCCATGTGAAATTAAAGAATCATAAACCAAACTTGGTGAAAATAGGGGTTATTTTCTATGGGAAAGGAATTTTTACCTCGTCTTTCATTATATACTGTAAATGAGAGTTTACTTCTGCATTTTAAGAACAGCGAAGAGTTAAGAACTTAACAACAATGCTACCAGCTACTGATCCTGTAGAAGGAACATATAGCAGAAATCAAACCAGGAAATAACTAGTCAGTTCTTGACTACTCCAAGCCATACTTCATCTCACTTCTTAGTTCAGAAGAGCAGTCTCTAACTAGCCTTAATGAATGAGAAAAATGGGGGCTGAAGTTGCGAGTTTCAAAGCCTAATTTTAAAAGCATTTGATTTCGTTCACAAATACGTCAAACAGCTCATTCGAGACTTTTAGCTAGCATCTTCTGAACAGTTTTTACTCATTTCTGAAAGGTACTGTTTCAGAAAAGAAAGGGAAAAAAAAAAAGAGCAAGCTAAATATTGAAATAAGCAGCTTACAATTGCGGCACGTGCCCAGGGAAGGAAGTACAGCCAATTCGCCCTGGCGGGTGGCTCGGAAGGCTCCCAGAGATTTTCCTCACCCACCCATCACCTCCTTTCAACCCTTGCACTCAAGTCAACCGCGTTCGCGCTGCTCCGGCGAAGGCAGCGGGAGCGGACACGTTTTAGCAAAAAAAAAAAAAAAAAAAAAAATCGAATCACCACTCTTAAGAGGAAATAAATACCGCCTGTTAACTAAAGCCTCTTTACCCTCGGCGTTTGAAAGGCGGCAGATGTACGTTATTATTATTTTTTTTTTTGTTCTTAAGGAAAACTTTCCAGCACGGCGCGGCCACCCGGACCCGGCCACCGCCGCGCTCCGTCCCCCCCCGCCACACCCAGCGCTCGGCACTGTAGCTTGGCTACCTCGAGGCGTTCCTCCTCAAAGGCTCCCTGAAACTTTTTATTTTAAAAAAGAAAAAAGAAAGG